CTTGACCAATAAATTTTTTATTAACAATAAATAATAGGATCACATGCATAAGAGCCGTGAGGGAATTTTCTTGGGAGCATGCAATAAGGGCCGTTTGGGAGGGCTGAACTGAAGATTCAGCTAAACTGGCTCGACTGCTCTAAAAGTGCGCCATTCATTCATTCAAAGAGGCTGCAAGTGGATAGCCCTTACAAATCACAGCTGATTTGTACTCTTTAAATTTTTATCAAACATAGCTTATAGTCTGTTCATGTTGGACTCACCTTGGAAAGCCCAGGAGGTGTGTCTTTCAACCCTCTCAACCGGGCACTAATTAGGTGGCTAAAATTGTTGGTTTGCTGCATAAGCAAGACAAAATTTCCTGCGACGGTTGCATGCATCCTCCAATAAAATGTGGCGGCGTGCGACCGACCAAGCACCAGTTGATGTGATGTTTTATTTTTTCTTTGGAGGTGTTTGTTTCTCTCCCACCATAAAAGCTGCATATACTCACTGCACTGCTCACTATCAAGTAACTATATGCTCAGGCAGATCCCTACAGTCTCAGTTCAAACGATGTTGATATTTCTTTGTTTTCTTCTAGTATTTACTTCCTTCCTCCTTTTGCTTTTACTTAGCAGGAACAATAAAGATGGCGCAAGTTCAAGAAAAGGTCTTCTTCCACCAGGCCCTCCAAGGTTTCCTGTAATCGGAAACTTGCATCAGCTTGGTAAATTTTCCCTTCATAGAGCCCTCCATGAACTCTCTAGGAGGTATGGTCCTCTCATGTCTCTGCAACTTGGTTGCGTGTCTACAGTGGTGGTTTCTTCGGCAAGAATGGCTAGGGAGGTCTTGAAAACTCATGATCTTCAGTTTGCTGATAGGCCTTTCTTGGTTAGCGTGCAAAAGTTAACTTACAATGGATTGGATTTGACATTTTCACCCTATGGTGAATATTGGAGGGAGTTAAGGAAGATATGCATCATTGGGTTCTTCAGCATCAAGAGAGTTCAATCCTTTCAGTCCATAAGAGAGGATGAAGTTTCCATATTGATCAAGTCGATTTCCCAACTGGCTGATTCTTCTAAGCTGGTCAATCTTAGCAAAATGATGTTTTCTACCACAAGCAACATAATTTGTGGAATTGCTTTTGGCAAGAATTTTCATGAGGAAGGGTGCGAAAGAAGTACTTTTTACGGGCTTCTTGATGAATATCAAGTCTCCATGGGTAGCTTTGCCTTTGCTAACTACTTTCCATCTCTGGGGTGGATTTTGGATACTCTCACTGGATTCAATTCTAGGCTTGAAAGAATCTTTCAAGGCTTTGATTCTTTCTTCAGGCAAGTTATCGAGGAGCACCTGGATCCCAAGAGGTTGAAGCATGACAGAGGGGACATCACCGACCTCTTGCTTCAAATGCATAAAGATCATACAAGTGAAATTGATCTTACACTGGATCACATTAAGGCAGTGATGACGGTAATCTGCAGATAGTTTCACAATTCTTACTAAATGTCTTTTGCCACTTGATTTCATCATCATCATCATCATTAGGAATTTACTGTCCCAACTATATGGGATCAGCTACATGACTCTTGTTTGGCCATTTCATTCTGTTCAATGCATTAAATTTTGGGTGCTTAAATTGTTCCTCCACTTGATTTGTTACTAATTAATCCAGGAGGATGGTTTTTTTGGTCCTTGTTTAGAAGACACATCATCCCAAGTATTGCAGTTTTGTGGATTAGAATAAATACCTCTTTAGGGTCCTTATCTAACTGTTTAAGCTTTTATGTTGAATGGTTCTTTGGGATATTATAATAACAGAACCTATTTGACCAAGTGGTCTAGTGTTTATACTCATCTTCCCCAATGTATAGTTAATTAAATTTAAATGGAATTGTGGGTGGGCCTATGCTTGTTCACACTTCAAGCCCAATGGGCTTTCATGTAAAGGGTGTGTTAGAAAATAAGAACCTGTTCAGGGACTTCACCTAACAGGTTAAGCTTTTAGGATCAACAATTCTTTGAGGTGGTATCAGAGCCAATTTGGTCAATTGGTCTAGTGTTCGATCCTACTCACCCCATGATTAATTAAAGGGTTTCTTGTAGATAATGGCAACTTTTTTCCCTTAATATCAATAAAAAGTAATATTTTTATATAATAACTAAAATAAGGTAAATTTTTGAAAAAATATCAAGAAAGGGCACTACAGTTCGTGTTCCTCCTCTGCTCTCATGCAAATGATCATAACATTCCGGTTCTCTACCCCTTTGAACCCATTGTATCCCTCAAAGATCGCCTTTATGAACGACACGAATGGCACGGATACTCCTGACATGGCCTTCTGCATTAGCTCGTTCATCTCCGGCTTGTCTCCGTAGTACAAGTATGCCTACTCATTGTTCGCCTTCACGAACGGCTCCTCTTTTGGATCCACCACCGCCTCGTGCAGGATGGGCCATGCTGTTTTGGGTTTCCATTGTCTACTGCTGTTTCGGGTTTCCATTGTCTCGTCAACGGGCATAGTTGTTGCTGGCAACATTAACCTCCTACGAATATAGAGGCAGAGGAGGAAGACGAGTAGTGCCCTTTCTTGATAATTTTCTAAAAAATTTACCCTATTTTAATTATTATATAAAAATATTGTTTCTTTTTGATATTAAAGGCAAAAAGTTGCCTTTATCTGATAGGACCCCTTAATTAAATTTCAGCACAATGTATGAATTGGCCTGTGCTTGTCCACACTTCAAGCACGATAAGCTTTCTTATGAAGGGGCATGTTAGAGTATAAAAAACTATTCAAGGTCCTCACCTAACAGCTTAAGGTTTTAGGTTCAATGGTTCTTTGAGAAACAGAATTCTGTTTTTGGGAGCCAAAACATGCCTAAAACCAGTACCCAATATTATAGTTACAGTTTAATATTTTAGAGACCTTGGAAAACAGTGAAACCAGCTTTCTCAAACATATCTCCCAAATTAGTTTCAATCACTTACATTAAGGCTATGTTTGGTTTGAAGGAAAAGGTAGGGAAAGGAAGGGAAATGTAGAAAAATCTATACAAGGTTTGTAAAGGTTTTCCGATCTTTCCCTTCTTTTCCCTACTTTTTCCTTCAAACCAAATACAACCTAAGTACTCCAAATTGTACCCTGATATTCTCATCTCCTTTTCCCTAACAGGAAAACACCTTAACTTAGGCCAGTCTAGACCAATTAATGCTATAAATGTGTTTTCTACTTTCTGTAGGATATTCTGCTTGCTGGAACGGATACAACTACTGCAACCTTGGTCTGGGCAATGACATTTCTAGCCAAACATCCAAGAGTGATGGAGAAAGCACAGGAAGAAGTTAGGAATCTTATAAGAAACAAGCAAAATATAAGTGAATACGATCTTCACCAACTCCATTATCTGAAGTGTGTAGTGAAAGAGACATTGAGATTGCAACCTGCAGCCCCGTTATTGGTTCCACGAGAATCTAGAAAACAATGTAACTTGGACGGATACAAAATTCATCCAAAAACTCAGATCCTAGTCAATGCGTGGACTATTGGAAGAGATCCTGAATTTTGGGAGAACCCAGAAGAGTTCAGACCAGAAAGGTTCATCAATAGCTCCATTGATTTTAAAGGACAATGTTTTGAGTATATACCATTTGGGTCTGGTAGAAGGATTTGCCCAGGGATAAATTTTGGAATGGTAATTGTGGAGCTTGTGCTTGCAAATCTTTTGTACTCATTTGATTGGGAACTTCCTCCTGGGATTAAGACGGCAGACATTGACATGGAGGAGTTATCCGGTCTTACGGTGCACAAGAAAAATGCGCTTTGCCTTTTGGCAAGTAACTATACAGAGCATTGCACCAGTTTGTTGTGATTGTTGTTGTTGTTATTGTTACATACTGAAAACAGTCGTCGTTTTGTTGTTCTTTGTTGTTGTAATTGTCTTTCTTTTTAAGTTGTTAGCTTGTAAAAAGAAAGAATAGTAAATCTTGAGTTTGTTTCAATGTAAAAGGTTTCAAAAGCTTCTAAGTCATTTTAGGAAGATCTTTGTGACAGCCTAAATGACCAAAGGACATACTGACCTTTTGGTATCTTGTCTTTAAAGATGAAAACTATTTGGGAAGCATCTTGGTCTATTCAGTTTCGAAAAGTGGATATAAAGGCTATTTATCATGTGGAAGCTTCCTGAAATTCAGCTATTTTAGTGTTTATAGTCATTTTTTATGCACTTCTTTACTTTCTATTACCAAATGAAAAAAAAGACAAAAAATCAGTCTCCACATTTATTTTTGGGTAAATTACTGAAACCTCCCCTAGAGTTTCTGGTTGTTGTTGAAATCTCCCCTGAACTTTCTGATATAGTTGCAAGTAGACCCCTTTGTTAAAATCTTCTAAAAAAGAGGAATGAAAATGTTCAGAACACCCATGCAGTTACTTTTGACCAAACTTTCTCTTCATTCTAATTGCTAGCCCAAACCTTTCCAATATGTTTTCTGAAACTGATTCATGGTTTATAAAGTTCGTATTGCCTTTTCTGTAAAAACCAGTCTCAATGGTAATTGCATGGATATTTTAAACATTTTTATGCCTTTTATCAGCAGATTCTAACAAAAGAGAGATCTACTTGCAACTGTGTCAAAAGCTTGAGAAGAAGTGACTGCAATTATCAGATTTCAAGGGAGGTGTCAGAAACAGTCATTAGGGGAGGTTTCCGCAATATACCCTTTATTTTTTGATGTACAAATGAAATTAGTGCAACTCGGGCTGGGCTGTCTCAGTTAATCAACCCTAGCCCAACCCAATGTGTCAAAACCTCACCCTTGACCTTAACCCTAGACCAACCCTTGACCTTACTCACATCTTCTGTATCTTAATGAAATTAAAATAGAAGTCAATTCCAATATTCCATTACCAAAAAGATGTGAAGTTACAACAACCAAACCATTAACACCAGGCTTGAGCCTGGACCACAGCCAAAAATCCTCCAAATCACAATGTATAATCGGCTCTTCTGTTTAAGGGCCTACTTCATATCCTGTATGGGCTAGTTCTGACGTGGTAAAATATGAAATTATGAATGATGAAACAATATAATATAGTGCCTTTTCACTCAATTATTGTGTTCACTCAAGGAGTTTTCAATAAATGTTTTTGTTTTCATTTGTTTTTGGATTTATCACATCAATACAAAAACAAAAACATGTTCTTGAACTCTGTTTTTGTTTCAAAAGAAAAACAAGTTGGTTCTGTTTCAAATGATAAAAATTATATGATTCATGGAACATAATGTTGAATAATCAGATGAAAACATGTTTTTGAAACCACATTGAAGAACATTTTGTATTCAATTTTGAAAACAAAAAATATACAATCAAGAATATGTTTTTTGTTTTTGAATTTTAAGAAACAATATATTTTCAAACAATATGATTTTGATTTGTTTTCAGAGCCCACAACAAGAAAAACAATTCACGTTGTAGAATACCTCCTCAATGTGCTCACCTAACTTTGAGTGAGTCCAGTTTTGTTAATTGCCAGCTAACCTAGGGACATTATCAGATACGTACTGGACTCTGTTTGTGATAAACACATAATTAAGGTGTAATTCAATTCGAATTTCAGTTTTAGTCTTCATGACGTTGGGACCATGAAGCCAAAGTTCATTCCTCTAGATTCACTTCCAATATCTCTCCAGTCTCTAGACCAACGATCTTGGCTTCATATTGGGTGACAACAATCCCACCGTACCACTGTATCATTCGCTCTCTTCTATTGATTTTGCTTGCATTATCTCTTGAAAATAAACACACCACGGTTTTTTTATATTGGGTGGTTTGGTAAATTCAAACTATAGGATAGGTTTAAATAAATCTGTAAAAGGGGTGTTCAGTGACTTTTTTTTTTTATTTCTATATGTGTAATTTTTATTTTTTATATTTATAAAATTTTATAGGAAATTCGATTTTTAGTTGAGCTCGAATTGAATCCAGCTTGAACGTAGGAGTTTTTATACTTGAATCAAATTCGAGTTCAAGGTCCTTAACTTGAATTGAACTTGAGCTCAAACTCAAACCTCATGATTTATTGGTGAATTGAGCTGTTGCAAATGCAGCCAGCCCATAAGACTATAGATAAATGCCTATTTTCCATGTTCTAAACGGTGATGACCCACAATTGTCTGAACCATAGCAATGAGGTTCGAGTGTGACGACATATCCTTGACATGAAACTTAGAATACCAATGAGATTCACCTAATCAAAACTAGAAAACACGAACCATCAATACCAGCAAACAAAGACTTGGCTGGTCACCAAAACAGGCAAACACAAACTGTAAACCCAAAATTGGGAGAAAATAGATAGTTTTGACTTACAAAAACCCCCCTTTACCGAGAAATAGAAACCGGTACCTACAGAAACACAGACAAATAGAGACCAACTCGTTAGGGTTAGAGAGAAAGAGAGACGAAGGGAGATGTTACCTGCATTTTTAGTGTTGAACTATTGACATGTTTTGGTGGCATTAAAAACGGATGATGCTAAGAAGTTCACAAACCCTTTCCTCTCAACAACCCCTCATGAGGTGGTGATTCGCCGCACCTCCACCTCTGGCAAACAATGTCAAAATGAGAAAGCACTAAGGAAAAGATGCAGATCAAGAAAAGGGAAAAGTGTTAGCATTGGGTTGTCGCATCATGAAAAGGAGCAAGTCACTCTTGTTACATGAGATAGAGAGAGGTTGAATGAGATAGGGAGATAGAAGGGAGTTTTCAGAAGAAGTGAGAGTGATGTTTCAGAAGAAGTGAGAGGAGGATGATAAAGAGACAGCGAGGGAAGAGAGGAAGATGGAAGAAAGGCAGAGAAGAGAGAGGATAGTAGGAATAGGAAGTGGTGAGAGAGAGAGAGCAGGAAGATAGACAGGGAGAAAGCAAGAGAGAGGAATAGTGAGACATATGTCACACGTGTAATGAAAGTAGTGAGATGTGGGAAGCTAGGATCGAAAGAAGAAGTGTGTCGAAGCAAGAGAGAGAAAGAGAGAGGAGTAGTGAGATGCATGTCACACATGTAATGAAAATAGTGAAACACACACGCTTGAGTTTTTCCCTCGTGCTATCATTGATCTATTCGCATGAGTAGATTCCATTTAGCGCGGAGAGAACCCTTTTGATTTAATATAGATATATAAGATAAGATTATACTTATGAGATGAAAAAACTACTAATTTATGCATGAACGTTTTCATTTTCTTTTTTTTTCAGAAAAAGGAATGCAATGGAAATTGAATCACGACTGGACTATGACATGCACATAAAATGCTAAATTTTTAATGCTAAGTACACAATCGTCAAACTCAACCAGAAAAAAAAGAAAAAAAAAGAGGTAGATTATTTAGTTAGGAGGACCTAACAATTGAATATTCATATGTGCCTACTTAAGACGAGCTTCATCTTCGCAGGGCTATGAAGTCAATCCTACATGACTACTCAATAAAAAAGAAAATTAATAAATAAATTCTGACCCAACATAACTACTTAATAAGGAATCCTACTTAATTACTTAGGAAGTAAACAAATATTGAGAAATGGAAGAGAAAAGACCTAACGGATGTAAAGAAAATCTAAGTGTTAAGAAAGTAATCCCCTATCTATAGAGCAGCCTTGAATAAAAGTCCTATCCCTATTATAACGAAAGTGCTTGGTCAATGAGAAATTGGAATTGGTGAGAGATGGTGTGTCCTATCATCATAGTTATCAAATGGTGGTTCACAATTAGTCTAAGGGAAGTCTAGGGAGATGAATGCTTGAATGTACCCCTATTGAAAGAAAACACTTCTGGAAGTTGGGATAAACTATAGCACTAGGAGATCTTCAAGAGGGTCTTTAAACAAATGGTGGATGGCTTCGGCCGAATTTGGACATGGGGAAAAATAGAGAGAGTAGGGAATGGGAGTGATGGATGTGAAGCTACTTGGGACATGAAGGAAGTATTCTTAAGGTCAATAGCTCTCCCTAACTTTGATTGTGTCTAAGCTAGAATGTCTAGGTTAGATTTCGTATGTTTTGAGTGTAAGAGGGGGGGGGGGGTATTTATAGATTTTTGAGATGGTGATGGAGGGCTGAGATAGAGAGCCAAGGGAGATCAATGACTGAGGTTTAGGGGGCTTTTGGAGGGAGATTGATTGAGAGAATGGGCAGTTAAGACAGCTTTGGGAGAGATCCTCTTAATTAATCAAGACAATAAGTGGAAGATTTCAATAATTTATCTAAATTGAACATTCCAAGTTTAGGTGATTGGTTTGATTGATTGGATGCTTTTAGCTAGTCAAATCTTGGATTTAAGATGGTTCTAGAGGCTAGAGAATGGTTTGGTCGTGGGATGCCCTAGGCTCGAAATTATTGTGGAGAGGATCCAAATGGAGGGCCTATATTGAATTTAGAGTTGCGTATCAAGAAGGAAAGGTTAACAGTGTCGGAATTGGATGATCTTGATACCGTTGGACTTAGAATTTCGAGCTTTATCTATCTACAAGGTTGGATTTCAGATTTCATATGGTATATGGTTCAAGATCAAAAGAGGTCCTGATTGGAATTGGTTATGGCTTTGGGTCTTGAGATGAAGGGGTAAATGGTGTCGGATTTGGGTGATCTTAATGTCGTTGGATTTGGATTTTTGGTCTCTACGTACTTATGGTTTGGGGTTTTTGATTTGATATGAAATGAGGTTCGTGATTGAAATGACTCCAATCGAACAATTGAAATGGTTTCGGCTTCGTGTCTTAAAATGAAGGGGTAAAGGATGTCGGATTTGGGTGATCTTGGTGTCGTTGGGTTTGGATTTTTGGGATCTACATGCCTATGACTTTAGATTTCTGATTTGACCTGAAATGAAGTTCGTGATCAAAATGACTTCGATCGGATGATTGGAATCGTTTATAGCTTTGGGTCTTAGGATGATGGGGTAAACGGTGTCAGTGAGTGATCTTCGTGTCATTGGATTTGGATTTTTGAGATCTATGTACCTATGATTTTGGATTTATTATTTGACATGAAATGAGGTTTGTGATCAAAATGATTTCAATCGGATGATCGAAATCGGTTTTAGCTTTAAGTCTTAGGATGAAAGGGG